GTACTCTTGAACCCAGGTGTAAATAGACTGTTTTGAAAATTATTTCAGGCTCCCAATTTCACAAAAGGCTGGAAGCAGCAGCTGAGATAATGACACCTGTTTGCACTGCAGTCACACGCAGATGCAACACCAGTGCCAAACAACATTTAACATCAAATTATTTGCAAAATGCTAACACATCTAATAATCTTAATTAGGACTAAACACAAAGTTTGCAATTAATGCCAAATTTCACAGTGATCCATCCAACAGTTTTTGGGCATTTCCTTAAAAACAATGGTTGTGCTGGACAACTCAGTTTGTGGTGATCATGAGCCCCTGGAGTCACACTACTTAGTCTAAGGCAAGTGGAGTTACACGGTACACAGACTCTGTTACACAGGACTCTTTATGTGCTTCTAACCTGTACGTTTGTCTGTGTTTGTGATTCTCCCTAAAGATGAGGACCAGGAGACATCGGGGGATTTTGGCAGCGGCGGTGCCGTCATTCTCCTGGGCGACCAGGAGGAGGAGCCATCACAGAGCGGGCGGAGCCGGCAGAAGAAAAGACGGGGCCGGATTCACCCCCGAGGAGCCATCGAGGACGATGACGACGAGGAAGACGATAAGGATGACGAGATTGGCTATGTTTGGTAGCTCCGCTCCATTTAATTCTGCCATCAGCGACCCAGGAAACTCAGCACAGATCTGAAGCCATTCCAATGTCTCCTCCTCCAGTTACTTTGGCAGCAGTCCATCTTTTGGCTCCTGAACTTCCTCATGTGATCTCTGTCCTTTATCCATATCTCTCTCTTCAGTGAACCTCATCCGACCTCTTCATTTTCAAGTGTTTTACGTTCAGATGGAAAACAGAGAACCTATTAGATTCCAACAAATGTCGAGACCCTGTCAGATTTCTGCTCAAGCTGTCCACTTTCTGCCTCTGCCTTCCCCCAAACCTGCGTTCTTTAACCTCTTCTAACATGAACTTGCTTCTCTATTATCCCTCTTACTCCCTATATCTCTTTCTTTCTCCTATTCTGTCCCTCTCTCCTATCTCTGTACGTCCATGTCAGAGCATCTCGTCAGTCTGTGAGCCCAGATACATTAGCTGATGTACTGGATGTAAATATGTTTCCTCCAAGAAGGCCAGATTGTGGATTAAGTCCTCCCTGTACTTCCATCAGCGGTTTCATTCTCATGTTCTGTGTTCCACAGTCGGGCTCCTTCCAGTGTTCAAAGATGATCCCATAACACGTCCCCAGGCTCTGAGATGCTCCCTCTAACTCTGTTGTTTCATGGAGGACTGTAAATTATTTAATTGTTGATCTTGAATGTCCCAGAAAGCCCAGGAAGCAATGAGATAAATGATGTATTGTCGTTGATGTTGCATGTTTCTCATCGTGTTTCTGTAAAAGAGAGATTTACCTGGCCAGGTCTAGCTCTATGCATCTCAAACAGAAAGTGATGACTATTTGGCTGCTACAATACTTTGTTGCTATGTTGATGCTGTCTAGTGTCTTTTTGGTTCTTCTCCCAATCTCAGGAGGTAGGGAGTGGCATTGCAGAGCGATAGCAGTGTAGAAAAAGCGAACTACAAGGCCTACAGTCCAAAGCCGTGGCGATTCAGCCAGCTGTTCTTTTATTAAGTGGTCGGTAGGGCTTCTGAGGCTGTTTGGCTGTGAATAGACAATAGAGGAAGAAGCTGCTCCTGAGCTGGGAGGACACATGAAGTCGGGCGAGCAGAGAAGAGGCTCTGTTCTGCCTCCCAACACTGGATATGTTCGTGATTTAAAATTGAAATCCTCACAATGTCAACTAAGTGAACTTTTATTTGTAACTTTGAACATTTAAGTAAAGTGGCACTTTGGGTGTCTTTTGAACCTTACAGGTCTGTGTCCATGTGTCTCTTGTTCTCCTGATGTTCCATTTTCAGCACACGCCTCACATTTCATTTTATTTCACCAAATCATGATGAAATAAAAACACATCTCTGTCCTCAATGTGAAACCACCAACACATTAATATGACTTTCTCGTGCTCTTTTGGTTTTATTTTCTCTAAAGCTCGGCTTTCTCTGCAGTAGAACAATCAAAGTCCTCCATCATTTCTGACCTTTACCAACCTTGAGAAAGTCTCCTGTTAGAAGCAGACGTAAATAATTGCAGCAAAAAAAATATCCTCATATCAATTGCTTTTGAGAGAGGAGAATCACAAAGCCAGCAGTCCCCAATAGAACATAAAAGCCTCATGAGTGTTTTTGTAATATCACTGGCTAATGGAACAGATGACCCCACTGGCTTGAAACAGCCTGCTCAGCACTTTGAAAAAACATTGTAACAACCATCGGAGGCTAAGAGGACGACCGAATCTTCTGGCTTTAAACAGCCTATTCAGCAGTTCATAACACACTCTGTCAGATACAATAGACAATGGGCTTAACTATGTGCATCAAATTATGCCAGAGGCTGTGGAGGGTGTGTAATCATCCAATTCTGGGACCTTGGCTCGTGCAACGTCCTCTTCTGTCATCACGCTACATGACAAAAGCTATAAAGAAAACGGCTCATTCGTCCATCTGTCTTCACATGCAGTGTCTGCTGCTTTTTTCCTGCTTTGTATCCACCTCATTCCTCACTTTGCATGAATTATGGGCCCGGTTACTCCTTTCACTGTGAGAGTTTGCAGAATGTTGCAGGTGTCTTCCCTTTTTCCCTTCTTTTTTGGAATATGAATCATGTGGGAACACAGCCTATCCCACTTTGAAGGAAACGTTGGCCAGTTTTGGAAATACGTTTATCTTTCCTATTGAGTTAGATATGAAGATTGATACCCTTCTCAAGCTTGTTCAGTAAATATGAAGCCACCACCAGCAACCGGCTAACTTAGCTTCGCACAAAGATGGGAAACAGCTGGCCAAAAGTAAAAGCCCACTTTTCTAGCTAAGTTGGCCTGTAGCTTCCTACTTCCCGTACCTGAAGCATATCTCCAACTCTTGCAGTCACCATTTTGGTGAAAGGATAGACCGGTATGGCGGGGCTAAGAACAAGGTGGATATATTCAAATAATCAAAATTCAAAGAAAATCACATTAACTTGTAACTTCAGCCACCACAAGACACATCTATCACACACCAGCACTCACTTACAACCCTTGTTGTCCTCACACACACATACACACTCCCTCTCTCTCTCTCTCTCCCTCTCTCTCTCTCTCTCTCTCTCTCTCTCTCTAATTATTGTTTCTATTTCCCTCCTCTCTCCCACTCACTCTAGAGTGAGTTCCATCTCCATCTCAGTAAGGGAGCTGCATGGCTGAGTTTTATTAGCCTTAGGGCACGTTGTTCCTCTCTTTCATTTATCTATTGCAGCTTTTTTATTATCCACAGATGGCTTGGTGGATCCTCCCATTGGCTCGGGGTCTCCATGGTGATTGGCTACAATGACGGGGACATTTTTGTCAATTTTTGGGACAAACAGGAGCAGCTTGATGAAGTTTGCCATTTAATGTGGGATGTTTTTGTTTGGTCCTTGCTCCACTATGCTAGACGCTGTCTGCCTGTCGTTTGGCAGCATACAGTCCATTTTCAGGTCTTTCATGCTAAAAAACAACCATGTGCTGTGGCTGAAAACTAAGCTGATGAGAGCGGTGAGAATCAAGCAAAACAGTTCATGAAACCAAAACAATAAACTAAATGATAATGAAACACTCTTTAATGATGTGGGGAACTGCAGCATGTGCAGATAATAAACTGTGGGTTTGGAATTTGATCCATTTTAATATAAAAAATATTGATGATAGTGGCTTTAAATCTTCACTCACTCAAACCCATATCTGATGATAAAAAGCTTTAACCTATACTGCATCTTCTAAATATTGAGAAGTTTAGACCACTTACATAAAAAAAGACCAGGCAGCAAATTAATTTTGCGTATTCCATAACTCTCCTCAGGGTCCAGAGTGCTGCTGGTCCTTCCAGGTAGTTTTCATTCTAGCCATGTGATCAAGGACCGATTTAGACCCGCACCCACAAGGGAGGGCAATTAACTACCTGACAGAAAGGAAATCCAGCAATGCTTCAGGGCCAGAGGACCAGATTTGAGGATCACTGGTCTAAAGCCTGCCTATGTAATTGGTAGAGACATTGTAATAAATAGGGATCATCTCTCCCTAATCTGTCACAGCCCACCACTTCCACTCGCATTCTCTCTTCATGCTCGGCTGCCGCTGCACCAGCCAGCTTGGTGAGCGCCTGAACAGATCAGACCCCCTCATGACCCCCTGGTGGAGGTTTCTTGGATCATTTGCTTACATGTGATAGCCAGCACTATTCCAAATTTGCAAATTTAGAGAGGGATCATACCGGTCTCGTTAATACTCTGCCAGTGCCGTCCCTCTGATAGCACTAAATTACTGGGTGCAGCCCTCTGCTAAATAAATTAAACAGGAAACGACTCATAAGCGGTTCCACTGGCTTCACTCCTGTCAACAGTGATAAATTAAATTGGAACTTTTAGGTGAGCAGTCAGGCGAAACCAAACCACATTAAAAGGTGTCACATTACCCTCACACCAATAAACGCATTTACCTATTTGGATTTCATTTTCCCCCCTATCTGATTGTTGCTGCTCCACCTTGTCCACCTGGAGCTCTAATGCTGTTACCATTGTTTGCTCCTATAACAAGTGCATTATTTTCATGCAACTCAAATGTGACTTGAATTTATAAGCGCAGTGTGTGACACCAGTGCCCTCTGTTGGTCTGATCCTGGCTTTGAGTAGAGGACCAGTTCACGCTACAGCTGGTTACATGTGCTTTTGAATCAAAAACTCTGCTCCGAGGGGCACCCTGGTGGCTTAGGGGTTAAAGGAACAGATTAGCCCCAGTTTGAGTCTGGCCATGGACCTTTTTTTGCATTGTAATTCACTATCCCTCTTACTCTCTCCTTTCCTGGCAACTCTCCAACAAAAGAATAAAAAGCCCCCAAAAAATACAGTCCAGATGGATGACGGCAACATTTATTTTTCGTCACTATCATAGTACAATGTAATTTATTTTTGTAAATATCTATTTACAATTACATAAATGTAGTGGTTATCATGGAATTAAACACACAGTTTCTTTCTTGTTTGGAAGGGAAGACCTCCTTGTCTTGGTTTTGTATAAAAAACTTTGGGATTTGGCTGTAGATTAGAGGCACTGGACTCAAAGGTTTACATAATGTTTCCTGCATTTTGGGCAACATGCTTATCCATTTATAATAAAAAAGTGAATAACAAGCAGATTTAACCTCTGCTCTGCCAACAGCATCACTGTATACTTGTTTAGAGGCTGAATAGCTCCACGTCAGTCAGGTGGAGCTCAGAGCTGCTGGGATTCTCCTCTCACCAGCGATTACTCTGAGCCGCAACTTCTAGATCCATGATTCGCGGTAATCGGCCACTAGCACCACCCTCCAAGTAGCCAGGCTTCACTGCAGGTGTATCTGACAGCCTCCTCTTACTCTTGGTCAGGTCTGGATAGGAGGATAAAACAACTAAATTATTTTTAGGACAGGGGTCGAACGCCTCCTACAGCGTTACAAGGTGGAGGACTTGAGATTCTCACCTGAGATTGCCAATAACATCTTGCGTCTGGCTCCAAAGGTGGAGATGCCCACTTCCTTCAGATCCTCATCAGACAGAGTGAGGAACGTCTGGTAGTCGATCTGGATGAGTACAGATAGCAGTTGCATCATAATGCTCATTCATGATTTGTAATGCTTTTGCTGATGGACAAAAGCTTGTTTGTTTGTGTTTATCTGCTCGCGGAGAGTTCTCCCACACATAGCGTGTTGCATGTGTAAGTGATGATGAAAATGTATTTTCACACAACAATTTTTAGTTTTTTTAAGTTTAGTCAGAGACGGATTAATTTTACCTCTTGTTGTTCAAACACGTCAATGTATTTAATTAGGCCAAGTTGGCTGAGCAGCTCAGGCAGGTCATCTATCATTTGGGGGGAGGGGCTCCGCTGACTGCAGCTTGACGCCCTCCTCGATGAGCACACACCTTCAAAGTAGCTGCTGCTGCTGCCTGGGAAGCTCTCCGCTAGACATCAAAGTTCAGAGAAAAATGTTAAAGGTGCCAGAGAGAAAGTGACACACTCACACACACAAAAATACTTACAGGGTTTGTCATTTCTGCTTCTATTCATTGAGGCTGCAAATGCAGGGAAGGAGGAGGTGGATGAGGCGAAAGTGGACGGGGGTGAGGAGGGGGAGGAGGAGGAGGAGGAAGAGGAAGAGGAGGGGGAGACAAGAAGGGATAAAGATGTGGATCCATGTCTGTCCCTCCAGTTGTCACGGTTGCTCCCATTACACACCTTTCCCATCTGAGCAGCCCAGGACTAGAAGGAGACAGAAAATTGTCCCAGCATTAAATATGAACTACTTCTTCTTTCATCTGCAAATATTTCACAGCAGCACCTTGTACTTCTGTCACTATGCCTTTCTTTCATCTCTCCTCTTTCTGTCTCGAGGTCAGGGCTCGAGGTCAAACGGTTACAAGAGACCACATGTTCTCAAGTGTGAGGGGGTTTTAGTGGACATAACACATCAATAGATCCAAAGTTGTAATGAGAAAGCTCATTTGCCCCTGTTGGCTGACCCGTGGTAGAAGCACTCTCTCACTGGATATTATCAATGCAATGGGCATAGCGAATGCTTCCTCCCATCTGCCTGGGTCTAAGAAGGAAATTATTTGAGGAGTGCCTCTTGCTCTTTTTAACCTAAGTGAGTCTGTTTCTCCCTCACATGCTACAGAGCAGTCACAGAGCGGACGTTCGGGAGGCTTGTAAAGAGCCAGGGAGAAGAGCTGAAACAGCTCATGTAAACAGGCTGCTGAGCAGTGGCCGTGTTGACTGAGCCGATGACATCAGACCACAGGTAGTGAACGTACAAACCTGCAGTGCTTACCACACAGGGAAGCTAAGTGCTTTAAACTGTTAGAGAGCATTACCATTGGATGAGAATGTGTTAGGGGGGGGCGCTTGTTTTACTGCACTGCAACTAAAAAACTGCTTTTGCAGCTCAAACATTCAGCAAAAGTCAAGCCTCCTACAGCTAAAATTAACAATCAAAATAAGTCACGCTAAGTCGGAAGTCCATTTCAGTTTGTTGAACCAGACATTAAGTTAGCGTGATGCTCATTTGTACCTGTTGATGGCTATTGCTGATGCTCAGGTACGGTTTGTAGCTACGTCGGCTGATGTTGCGGAGCTCCTTAATGGCCTCGGCCGGCATGGACTTGGAGAAGCCGAGGCCACTCCAGGTGTCAGTAGGCGTCTGGACCTCTGTGAGCACAGGCTTCCTCAGCATGGCTGACATAACATACAAACACACACAGAAGGGAAATTCTAACTTAAAACTTGCTTTTACTGAAATTTTTTCTTCTTTTATTTGGCACCTTAGGGGCAGCTGACTCGAGCAAGAAATGTGACACTGACATATTAGCTAACAGTTACTGATTGCCTACACATTGAGCAGACACAGAGTGATATCAGCATTCATTTCAGAGTTATGTTTCTGGCCACTTGAGAGGAATATCTGTCTTGTTAGATGCTGAAGGTCCTACTATGTTCACCAGCTTGTCGCCAACTTTGTCTGCTGTTTAGTGCATGAACAGGTAGCGCACAGTGGGTTTATCAGAGTGTTTTGCTAAAAGCAGCTTGCTGTTGCGGCTGGAAACAACACTGATCAGAGACGAAGTTACATAAAACCAAAACAATGAGCCGAAAGACGCTAGAATGCTCCTTGTTAAAAGAAACTGCAGAGTGATAATTCTCTGTGGGTTTGACACTACGAGTATCACCCACATTACACATACTCAATTGATTCATTGTTAATTTAGAAATGTGGAGAATTGAATTCACACTGATACTTTTTGAAGCACACGACGATGCATACTGTTTAGCCTCAGTAAGTCCTTCATGAAAATGCATTGCAGGTTTTCCACGTCTCCTCTGAATTGGACAAGCTGGGTTCAGGTGTTAAATAATGAATAACGAACAGTGCCTCTCCTTGCCAGCATTTGGCATACTAAATAAAACTCAAATGGCTGAGACAGATACACCCTCTTAAATGACAAACAAGTGACCCTGGGCCTCTTCTGGCAGTAGAACAGGAGACGTGCGAATATGTGATCAAAAAAGAAAACTGCAAAAGCACTCCAAAGAGTGCGATATCAATAGGATTATAACTAGTGGGTTGTCCATTGTGTGGTATGTGTGTGTTTTTATGTGAGTAAATGTCCCATTCATATACTGGCATATGGGTGTCCTAATGACTGTGAGGCAGATGGCCCTTTCAAACTGCTAATTCATAATCCCATAAAGCAACACTGAGGGAATTTAGTACCATTTGGCTACAGATCTTCCCAGTATCTCTCATTCTGCATGATGGATGAGGTACTCTTTCCTGTGTGTGTGTGTGTGTGTGTGTGTGTGTGTGTGTGTGTGTGTGTGTCCATGCCTGTGTGCTTATGAGGGCACACGCACGCACACAACTGTGTCTGCATGCATGTGTGTATTGTCTGCATTGTGGATCTGCCCCATGTGAATAAAGTGGGAGTGCCAGTGCTATTCTATTATAACTTTGGCACAGTGCAGCCCATAAACAGGCCCCTTCATCAGTTGTCTTGGCAGTGAACAGCACTGAAATGGGCCCCCTCTATCACAAGCCTGCCTCTGCTCGGGATATTAATGTGTTGCCTCGATAACACACTTGAATAAACTAAATAAGCCACTTTATCTTGGATAATCATATGATATTAAATCATGTTTTCTCAACAATTTGACCAAAACTTGTGCACTTTTCCGACAAACTAAATCATTCATTTGATTTAGTGTCGTTTGAGGAGCTAAGTCAAAGTACTCTTCCAATATGTGCTCTGTTCAGTTCCAAAAACAACAACTTGGCTGTATATAGGTGGCTGTTTGACAAGCAAAACAACAATATACAGTAGACATGTTGGGAAAAATTCCCCTGCCAAATGTGTTTTAATATATCCATCTGCAGAATACAGCAACTAGATCAATAAAGAAAAGAATTGCTTGCTTAGCAGTGCTCTGATTGCAGAAGCCTGTGCGGAGCTCTTGAAACCAGAGTAGGACAGGAAGAAATATTAAACATTTATGAGCACTAACCTCTAGTTGCCAGCAGTTTCTTCCTCTCATAGTCATAATCCTACAAAGCACAAACAAGAAATAGAGAGGGTAAATAATGCATGAAATTGAATTATTTTTTCTCTGGTTGCTGAGCACAGGCAGGGGGAACCGAACACTTCTTTCTGCTGTGGCAGTAAACCTGTTAATCCTCAACTCAGTAACCTTTGAGAGTGAGTGATGACAAATACGAAGGGAAGCAAGCAAACCCGAAAATCAATTCTCAAAATCAAATCACACCCGGTTCAGGGTTGTGCAAATCAATAGGTCACATCACAAAAAAATGTGCCTGCTGTTTTCAATCTATCTTGTCATCTACGGTTTGATTTGAAGATGTTGGAGGTGTTAAATCGTGTGTCCTCTGTCTCTCTCTCACAAACCTTCTCCTCTACAAGTCTTTATCTATAAAACACTAACCCTTCTGTGTCTTTCAGGGGTTCAGAAAGACTTGATTGTCTTTCCCCTGAGCTTTAATTGTGGCCAAATAGGTTTGTTCATAGATGCAGTGCATCATTTTATGAGCAAACAGAGATCATCGATTCCTGTTTTTCCTCACCTCAGCCTTGGATGAGTCAGCGCAAACATCCTGAGCCATCGTTACATCTCTCCTCAGGCTGTTTCTTCGCTCACTCCTCCCTCCCTCCATCTCTGCGTTCAGCAATCTGGCACAATGAGGAGACAAAAACCCACACACATATACACACAGTTGGAAAGACAAGGTTAGGTTGAACTGTGATGGCTACGTCCAACATTCGAGAGCATATCAGCATTTTCTTTCCCGAGAGCAACAGCAGCAAAACTACAGGAGGGTTTAAAAGTCAGAGTTATGATACTTTATAATTATGGATTATATTAAGGGAGAGCTGCTCCATGAAAACCTGAAAACAAAAGGAAAATATAGATGAGGTCAACAAGGTGGCTTTTCTCTAACTGTGTAAGCAACATTTTTCAACAGATCTGGCACATGCAGCTGTGTGTGTGTGTGTGTGTGTGCGTGCGTGCGTGCGTGTGTGTGCGTGTTTGTGTATTAACCACGCTAAAGTCAAAACCCTGTAGCGAATACCCATGTTCCATCTGGAGACAAAACCTTGATCCCCTTAAGGTCAACCATTAGGCTGTGACTTGGTTTTGATTTGAATTACACTTAGGTTAACGGTTAGTTAAATTATTCATCAGGGCATTAATGTAAGCCAACACAATGACCTCACAAGTGTTGAAAACAGGTGTTTTTTCCAGTTACTGCTCACCTGTATGTTAGCGCCTGCCCTGTTGAATGCCGTCTGCCGTGGTTGAAAACCTTTGTAATTTCAGGACCCTGCAGACTCCCCCTCCGACCCATCAATCCCACCCTGCTGATGCTGCTGACTGCATCACACACCTCAACATTAGAGCTCTCATCCTCTGATTGGCCAGACTGGTCCTCATTTTCTAGGATCTGAAGGAGAATCTGGTGCTTAGTGTTGATTTCTTTTGAGGTTTATTTATCAGGAAGGATTTGTTTTGTACTGAGAGCAGAGTGTATATGCAGTTTAACTACAGTGTCAAACCTTCTCCAGCGGCCGGCTGTCTGTTCCCTTCAGTCCTGTCCTCCCCTCGTCAGCGTGAGAGGTGAGACCTGGTGGAGGTGAGGGGCGGAGCTTAGTACCAGTCAGCAGCTCTGGAGGGATAGCTGGCACAGAGCCTGAGCAAAATACATGATAGTGAGTGAAGATCCTATTAGTTTGTACTACTGAGTTAAAAAGGGAAACATGTAAAAACAGACAAGTTTCCATCCATTCATCATATTTTGAATGTGTGCATAAAACACAGCCTGAATAAAAATGCCAGAAATGGGGGGTAAACACTTAAGAGGTTGAACAAATAGCTGATATAAAAAAGTTGCTGTATTGATAAAGAGAGACAGTACAAAACATTAATGAATACAGAATTTGCGATACATGGTTATGTTGCACCTCTAGTGGCTTTTCAAATTTTCCAGGACATTTGAGTGCAAACACATCTACAGAGATACATGTGCATGCTCACCCTGCTCAGAGAGACGAAGCTGCTGCAGCAACATGTTGAGCCAATAGTTGGCCAGCCCGCTGCCGGCTAGCGTGGGTTCAGGGGTCATCTCGGTTACCTTGGCAGTCTCACAGGAATCCAACCCGAGGAGCAGACGACGGGCCTCATGAAGACAAGAGATGTTCCTTTCCAGACCTTTCACCACCACTGACTGATAAATATACACAGTGGTGCATCAGTATTCAACACACCACAGTATACAAGACTACAGGGGGAGTAGTAGTTTTGCATTCAAAAATCAAAGTGAACATTCTAGAAATATTTCATAGACTTATGACTTAGTCTTATTTAATCCAGTGCCTGTGAAATAAGCAATCACAAGCTCTGTCCTATTTGAAGGTGAATTCAAAAAGATGAGGCTGGTAGGCATCAAAAACAAAATTACAATTTAATTCAAGACAGGGGCGAGGTGAATCTAACAAGGACAAAGCAGCAAAGCTACACTGATAAAGTTGTACCTTGCTGGTCTGTTTTACTTTGGGTTTGACACTAATGAAGACTCCCAGGTTTTGCATCATCTGAGCCAGTTTACACGGATCTGCCTCCCCATCTTCGCGCATGTCAAACATCAAACACACAGGCAGACAGTCCTAGATGTGCATGCAAAGACACATACACACAAAGAATGTCAAACAACAACAGATTAAGAAAATACAAGACAGAAAAATACATTTTGACACATGCAAGCAATCAAAAGACAAACAAACGCACTTGCTACCTCACACGATTGTTCTTTATTTAACTCTGTGCAGACAAAACAAAACACCGCCACACTGTACCATCAGCTGCTGCCGAGCCAGGCACACTCCGTGAGGGCTGCCCTGGATGAGCAGGGACGGAGGGCTCTGAGGAGCACTGAGGTCTGGTAGGATGATCTGGGTCTGGGTCTGGTGCATGACGCTCAGGAAGTGAGCTCCGTTCTGCCCCAACAGGAAGAGATGCTGCTGGGAGGTGACATCCATCTGGCTGCTCACTATGCCGCCTGCGACCTCTGACCCCAGCAACAGATCCATCAGGATGCAGGTCGCCTTCTGCCAGGTGATGATATATACATACATGTCATGATATCATACATCACTTAGACCTTATTCTAACGAGCATAAACTGTGAAGTGGATTACATTTGACTTTTGAATGTTTGACACTAACCTTGACAGCAGCTGCGTTGCCCTGCAGGCCCCAGACGGTGCAGCAGCTTTCATAGAAGTTGGGTTGTGCCTGAGGATGAGGTGGCACGGCCCTGAAGCTCACACTGACCCCCAACGTCTGCACTACCTGCTGGATGAGTGGGGAGCCTGCATCTGGCAGGGCCTGGGGCACCAGGCTGACTGGGAGGTCAAAGGTCAAGGACAATGGCTGCAGGTCCTATAGGACAAGAAAGATTGGATGGATGATTGGGTAAGAGTGTGATGGAGAGGAGACAGAGAGCAGAATAAAGAGATGTGGGACAGACAGTGGCTTTTTGACAAATATACCTGTCTTCTTTGTGCCAGACATTCTATTAATCATTCTATTGATTGCTGTGTCGTGACCGGAGTGAAGGAATTGCGTTTTGAGACAAATAAAAATCGATCCTAGGCAGTCTCTGCTCACACTGTACATTGACCACTCACTCTTATCCTCCTCCGGGCTTCCTCCACTCCTTCTATGGGTCCAGCGATGGAGACCTGGTAGAAGTTAATAAACAAATGAATATTGAATTTCATTTGTCTTACGTGTCTTGTCAAAGCAGCAGTCGGTGGCTCATTAAAATGCTGCTTTAGTGTCTCATGCATCATAGATTGTTACCTGGTTGCTTTTCTCTCCCGTACCGTTGTGCCGGTTGGAGTCGGGGAAATGGATGTGACACGATGTGACCTCCATCACCTTCTTGATGTTTCCACCACCTTTACCAATCACGTGGGAGTGCTCTGTGTAGGCCACGTCCATCTTTAAAGTCACCTTGTTGACCTGGATTTTATATAAACCGCCATGTCATTTGTGCAGATTACTTTTCAATACTATGTTTAGCCTTAAGATGTCATTGTCATGTCATTGGTGCCGATTCAACATGAAAAAGATCCTGCCCTTATGCACACAGTAGCTGCAAAGTCTCTCCCTACTACTTAAACTTTATAACAAACAGATTCTCAAAATAGCTTCTTATAGGAAAGTAGAAAACATGTAAAAGCGCGTCATAATCTATACGTTGTTGACTTAACTGTTCAGACAAATTGTGATAATCAAGCACCATAGCCCCTCACCCTGGTTTCCAGCACTTCTAGAATCTTCTTTTTGGCTTCCAAGACATTGTCTCTCTTCCCTTCCACCTTCACATGCGGATCTAGATGGATGTTGGAGTTAATTTAAATGACTTACAGTAAATGGGCAATAGTAAATCAATCCATTGGAACATTTGCGACAGGAAGGAGATGAAACACAGAGCACTGAGTTGGTGTCACCTTTCTTTGACTTGGCTCCAATCTTCAGCTTGGACGGCCATCTCACCTGAGTGTCAGTTTCTCTCATCACCTGTGGAAGCACAAACAATGGGAGAGAAAGAGCTCTCATTGTATGCCACAAATCACAGCACATATCGGAACACACACATGAACACATCCCCGAAACACAGCAGATCCCTTCAACCTAAGAATACAAAGTGTAATTTGCATTTCAAAGACTGCAATTATCACCTCCGTAAAACCAGCAATCACTGGATGCAGAGCATGGAACAAATGTTCACATGACGACGCTCCAACTGATTTCTAAGCTACATTTAACCAGAAGTCTTTATGCACTAACGATTATCGGTGGCCTTCACTGAGGAGAGCTGCTAGATTTTCTTTTAGTCATAAATAAAATGCTTCCTTGTGTGGACTTCTACTTACTCTCTCAAAAAACTCCTCTCCTGTCTCATCATCTCCATGCTTTGGAGCTGAAAGACACAAAGCAAGCAAACATTTAAAAAAAAAAAAAGAAAAGACAGATAAAGAGAAACACACATTTCAAAATTCCTGCAGTGCGATTTATCACATTGTGTTGGTCAGCAGCACAAAGTTCGTCTGTTTACAGCACAAGTGTTCAACATCAAGCATGTGTGCAAAGTCAACATTTAAATGTTGACCTGTCTGAGATTTGCCAAGCGACTGGAACAAGAAGTTGCCGGGAACATAAACAATTTTAAAAGGCCATCGCTCCACGGTGACATTTACAGGGTAGGGGGAGGGGGGGGGGGGGGCAGGAACGCCCTCACCCCCCCTCATCACTAGGGGTTACGCTGGCCAGAGCTGAGGAATGGGAAGAGAACAGTGTGCAGTGTGGGGGGGGGGGGGGGGGGGGGTGGTTGGGGGGGGGGACCACAAATTAGCCTAGAGACAGCTAATCACATCAATGGCATATGCTGACGTAAAGACCTCCCACTTGACCAAACATTTTTTAAAAACAACAGCAAAAACCAGAAGGAATGTGTAAAACAAAAAAAGCTTATTAGAGTAAAGTCTCAAGTGCACTCTGGCCGGTTATCACCTGAGGGGACGAGATACAACATTTACTGCCTGACTCACGCTCATTAAAACAGCCCACAGTTATCTGAGCGGAATTCGCTCCAGCTTTCCCATCGAGAGTCTGCGTGAGGACAAACAGACAAATGTCAGCCTCTATCTGCAGCAGTAGCACCCCCAGAAAGAGTTTCTCCAGTAACACAGGGGAGGCATTCGTCATAAACCTGCCAGGCAGCGATAACTAACGGATGCAGGATACCTCTGCTTCCCAGACAGGAATGATAATAGCAAAAGAGACTTCTGAATGCATAAGCCATTGCAGGTCGTAAATCATGGTGATACTGCAAAGGTTTGCATGGCAGTTACACCGATGGTGACAACAAGGACGCAGCCAGCTGGAGCCCCCTGACAGACACGCAGGGTCAGGTAGATAACAGCGGCTGTGAGGAAGGGCACACGGGGACAGGGACCTGCCTCCCCGTCTTAACGCATGTCAAACATCAGACACACAGGCAGGCAGGCCACACGGATACACATAAACCACACAGAATGTAAGTGGCAGAAAATAGCTTCTGAATAAACAGTTGAGGGGGAAGAGTGTGATGATGAAGGTGATAACAGTGCCAGAAAGCTATGGAGACTATTTTTGACAGTATTATGAACATCTCAGCTCACTCACCATACAACATGTTCTCCAGCTTCTTCCTGTCTATCCTGAACCTCTCCTCCACCCACTCGGGGTCCAGACTCTGCCCTCTTGCATTCTCCTGCACTTGCACAGAGCTTCCGCCAACTTCCTCCTCTTCCTCATCCTCTTTTTCCTCTCTGTCACGTTGGGCCTCGCTGGGCTCAGGCATCGCCGCTGAGCCGGGTCCTACGCTAGTTTCCAAGTCAGGCTGCTGGGGTGCTATGGTGGCCGGGACCGGAGAGCTCTCCTCGGTGGTGGTGGTGGTGGCCATAGCAGGACTGAGCCCTCGTCAGTGTTGGTGTGTGTGTGTTAGGATGTGTGCATGTGTGTGACCAAGGAGACCAGCAGCGAGAGAAAAAAAGGGGAAAGAGGGGCAAGAAACACCCCCTGTGTCTTTTCTTTAAATCCCCCGCCCCCTTCACTTAATTTAGTACACAAATCTCACTCTTTCTCTCTCACTTCAAGCTGTTCGAGGCTTGAAGGATTTGCTGCTATGGCCTTGCAGTGTGCAGATGTATAAGGGGAGTCACGTCTTTACTATAACAGAAACCATGTCTTCTCTATTTGAGGGGCTCCAAACAGACAAACAAACTAAATCTACAACTTCAGCTGAGGCTCAGTCTGCTCTGAACAAATCTTCTGTAATCCTCAGGTCAATGTCCATAGATTATGTGGATAGATGGTCAAGGCCTATGATAAGACAAGATACACATTTCACCCACACACATACACACACATATCCTGAAAAAGATCCTCACAACAGCACACACAGCTAACAAAATAAAAGGGTCATCCAGTTGGGTTCCACCGCACGTCTGTCCATGTCTGCCCTCCCTCCCCTTCTTCTGAATGAGAAGTACGAGGGCTTGAGATTCCAGAGGTCGGGGTGAGGGGAGTGGAGGGGGTCTATCGCAGCGGTGAGTGTGTGGTGTTTGTGTGAAAGGGGGAGCTTGCACCAATGCTTGGGATAAAAACATACTATATCACAAGTAGAACTACTCAAAACGTAGTAATATAAGTCAGCAAAATATGGTTTTTGTATCAAAAGTACTTCTTCTGTAAATCTCCTGTGTGTGCTTTCCACTGATGCACCTGTCACATATTCACATGTTTTCTTTTCAATTTTCTGAAGTCATACACATCTGAAACATGACAAGACACTGCTTTACAGTTAGGGTTAATTATTAACAATGTGTTGCATTTTATAGGCTCATTATATGTTTTTAAAATGTAAAAAAGTATAACTATCTTTGTAAAGTAGAATCCAATGAAAGTACTTGGGTAGAGTATAACTACCTGTAAATTGTACTTACGGAAAGTAATTGAGTAAATGTTACAACAGCTGCCAACAACAAGCAGGCAGCCAGAAAGTTGTAAACTCCAGTGACAGAGGGAAACTGGTTTAACAGTTACAAAATAAAGAGCAAATGGGATTTCAAAAATTAAGCACTTAATAAAACCCCTCCTTGCTTTCCCAAACTCGAGAACTCGAGTACAGACTGAAACATGGGTAAACACAAACTGCTCAATTAGTCAGGTCTGGTGGGACTCTGTTTCCAGCTCCGCTCGGTGTTTTCCATATTGCCCAGACAAATTTGGCCTCAGGCGAATGAGCAAATATCATTTGGCAGGGCAGAGAGAGATCTTGCTAACATTAAAAACTATTGCCGGCTAGACTTATTTGCCCGAGGAAGATGGTAATTGAAAGACTTGATGACTGTGTCACCATGGAAACTGGTCAAGGAGTGAATTATTCCAAGTTTAATCTGACTTTACAACTGCAGATCTCCTCTCTCCAGCCCCCCGTTTAGCCCCTTCTGACCAGAAGAGTGTGCGTTTCCAGTAAGAGTCGGAGCGTGCGTCACTGTTTGATCTATGGGCCAAATAAAGAAAAGCCAAACCGTCCTGCAGGGTGACTGATGAGCTGTGGGTGGTTTACTGAATCCACCAGTGAACCCATGAGTGAATCCTTTATTCATCTAGATAGATAGATAGATAGATAGATAGATGATGGATGGATGGATAGATAGATAGATATATAGATGATGGATGGATGGATAGATAGATCGATAAATAGACATGTATCTTGTTCCTTAAATGTGATGTTAAGTTTGACAAAACCCCTGAGTCATACACTTTTTTTCAAGGAAGATATTTTGACATGTTTGAGTAGAAAAAGTGCTGGTGTACATAATCAAATTAATTATGGCTTAATTCCCTTTACCTGCTTCAGTTTCAGGCTCCTGGTATTGTGCATGCTGCCACACTGTCACTGCTTACTGAGACACACAGACTATAACTGAGCCACCATTGATGTCACGAGTAACACCTGTGCTAATAATCAAAACGAATGTGCCTGTGCAGCACTGTTAGAGTTAAACATTCAAAAAGAGAGATAAATAGCTTATTGAGAGCACTCTAACCATGTGTCACCCAAATGGCATCTTCTGTGTACAGAGCAAATACAATATTTGTAATTTAAAAAAGCACATGTTCTAAACTACTCCATGGTCAAATCTTTTTCCACGCTAAACCGAACCAACATTCTTGTGGGGGACTATATTTATTAAATTTGGTTTGCATAAAAGTCCAAATACCTAGTCTAAAATACCAAAATCAGCATCATTAGAACCATTTTGTGCTGAATGAATATGGAATTATTCAGACATATTAATCAACAACAAACCACATAGGGAACTGGTTATAAACTGTACTTGCTGTGACACAGTCGTCCCCCGCCACACCGCATGATGGCGCTATGACGCACTGAACCACCTTTTCAGACTGAGTTGCGTCATCGGAGGCACGTCCGAGTCCTCTTCCGGTGTTCCGGTACGTCTCCGCGACGGATATATTTACCAGCGGGCAAACTGCTGGACTGGACCGACTGCGTTCGCTATTCATGGGTTTAGACGACCCTCAGAGGAAACTAAACATGCCTTTTCGGTTGAAGCAGCTTTAAAAAACACTAACCATGTGGAGAGTTCAAGGCTTTGTTGGAAGAGGTGAGAGAAATAGTTTTGACACCTTCTATGTTTAACGTTACATGCCATGTTGTTTCTTTAAGTAACTTATCGCTGTTATTAAGACATAAACGACGTTTATTGTGATTCCCGTACGGCGTAACGTTGTTTAAAGCTAACAGCTAGCCAAGTCAATTCACATAAATGTAAACAATTAGCTTCTAACTTCACTCTCTTGAGTGTAACTGACACCGCCCCCCTGGTTTATTTTGGTCAGAGTTGGTCTGAAGTATGTGGGTGTGCACTGCACATATTTTGGTAAACCTAAACAAGATTAGGATTGCAATGTAAAGCTACACCTCTGTCGATACAATACCCTGACACACTATTTACATGATATTCCAGTGTACACAAGTTAACTCTATACTTAGTATCATATTACTTGTTCCTTCCAGGACATTTTCTCGGATAAAAAAATAAATAAAAAATTGACAGACCATGTTTTTTATATCGCATAGTTTTGAGGAGGCTGAACCTTGTATGAAATTTGAATGCTGGACATTAATGTTTCATTTCTGCTGTTTGTCTCTTCCCATCACTTCTCAGTTCTGCACCGATATCATGGCAGCAACCCTCTGCGGCTGCCCCAGAACCAGGGCCAGTCTCAGGGACTGGGGGATGCTGAGATCATCAACAACTCGGTTGTCCTCTCCACCTCCCAACACTCTTCTGACGGCAGGTACTTTCCACACCTCGACCCTTCCTTTTTTTTGCTGTTCAAACTTTGTTTGCTCTGATGGAAAAAAAACTAGAAAATTAGTGAAGAGGAGCACTGAGCCTCTAACTTTGATCTCATGACTGCTCTGCCCTCAAACCACCGGCCATTTTATTAGCTGATGAAAAGAAAACCTTTTGAATTAAGGCCGAACCTCAGAGACTGCTCTCACCCCATTCCTTTTTTGTTCCTTCACCCCTCCTTTGAACCCGTTCTTGACTCGCAGCACTCCCACTGCCTCCCTTTCAGCTGGTTGCATCACCCAGTAGCATCTCCTGTACGCATGACGAGGGTTAGTCGAGGGCGCAGAAACAAAGCCTTTGTGCCTCGAGCAGAATATTTCTGTGATGCCTTCATACAATATACTGGAAATAAAAAAAACAACATCAAATTGTAATTTTTATGTTTGTGCTGTTTTGTTTTTTTTCTGTCAGCTCTCAAAAAGAGGAGGATGGAGAGAGGAGGAAGAAACGAAGGAGCTTTCATCTCGGCTTCGCTGAGCTTCCACGTTACACGGCCCTGGATGCTGTGGGATGGGTGCGTCCTCTGCTTTCACATGTAAAAGACTGAATATGTTTCCCAATATGCCCAGTGTAATCAGCTCATCCCAATTAGTCTACACTTTGTTGAAAGAGAGACGTCAGGCAGCTGCTCTCTGAGGGTTTAAACCGTGTGGACTGATTAGACAAACAGTGCACGATGGCTAAACCGCTATTATTACTAAATATATTCAGAGCTAACTGTGATGACAATAACCAACCTTAATGACAAAAAGAAGCAACCATTCAACACCGGTCCACCTCCACAACTGTAATCTCTGCTGCACTCAAAGCTGTGCCGCTGTTCTCTTCTCCCCACTTATTCATTCATCCAAGCGCTGTGTATTCAATTGTGTACAAACTAAACACTCAAGGGAATCACAGTCATTGTTAGTAGAAGTGAAAATGAATGCAACCATTGAACAATTATGAAACGGGCATTTTGGAGCATTTGGCCTTTTGCTCACAACATGATCTGGTTCACAGTTGGTCACGTACTCTGTTTATGTTGTCTCCCTTGATAACTACGACTTCATTAAGTATGCAGCAGGGTGGCCAACAATGTGTCATGGAAACCCAACAGTCCCAACCAATCTCACTGCATATAAATGTGCTTTCTGATTTACCATCCCCGGAATAGAGTATGTTAGTACCAGGAGTAGCAGTGAATGAATGAATAAGTGTTTGTCCACAGGGTGCTGCAGCAGTTCTCTTCATGCAGATCTGCAGGAGGATCCACTCCAAGTTCTCCTCAAACTCTGAGCCCAGTCCCATCCCCGGAGCCCTGACGGCACCCGCCACTCTGCACAAGTGTGGCTACCGCATTCTGCTGGAGATCTGTGAGTCGCATTAATGTAAAGAAGCAAAAGGCCCTCTGATGGCTCACTTTTTCATACAAACGATGAAATCCAAGATAGTTTTAAATAACCAACATTCAACTCTTTAAGAGGGTTGTCTGGTAACCGCAGGGTCAACGGTTCGATCCTCGACTGGGACATGCCATGTGGGAAGTGTCCCTGAGCAAGACACTGAACCCCCGGCTCCCCGGCAGCCACTGCTCCCTATATACAGGGATGGGTCAAATGCAGAAGTCAAATTTCGTGTATATGTATATGACAATAAAAAGGGGTTTCTTTCTTCTTTCTTTTACATCTTGTGATCACAATCCTGACTTTGTTTTGTTGTGCCTGTCTGGGTTCTCCAGTGTCTAGACGAGATGTCCTTCCCAGAGGGAGGACTGTGTTGTGTCTGCAGGAGGGGCCAGAGAGACAGACCCAGGCTCAGAGCAGCAGCAGCAGCATTAGCAGTTCAGGTGATGCCGGTCTTGACAGCAGCAGTGAGCCGGTCCACCTGACTGCTGACTGCTCCATCTGTGACCAGCAGAGGGCGCTCCTGAACCAGGATTGTCTCATACCCGGTTTGTTCTGAGCTCTGTGGCGGTCATAGTTAAAAACATTGTTTATACATAATATTCATCTCAACATGTTGTTTGTGTGAGCAGGATAATAAAGCATTGTTCTTGCCTGACTCACAGAGGAATCACCGGTGTCGGCATCCTGTCCTCTACAGAATGAGGCCGACCGAGACAACACGGAGACGACAGACGCCAAAGACGAGGTGGACGTCTGCCTCCTTGAAGTTTATTTCAATAAAAGATGCTTTTTTTTCTTCATCCTTGCAGATGACTGACTTTTAATCTAATCTGGATTGTTGTTTTGATCCTCTTCTGTGTTTGCAGGACATGCTGTCTGATGAGGAGAGGCTGGCAGGAGCAGCTCTGAATCTCAGACATGTGGGAGATAATAGCATTCCTGTTATCCTCAACATCATTGGTAGTCATATTTACACACGTTCTCCCTTTTTAAATCTTTGAGTTATTTTTGTTTTCCTCCGTCTATCGCTGATGTCTTCATCTCTCTGTTTATCGCAGGTTTAGAAAGTGCCAAGAGTGAAAACTACGAGGAGGCGTTCACGTGCTTTGTAGCTGCAGCTCAGCAGGGTTACAGCAAGGCCCAGTTCAACACGGCCGTGTGCTATGAGAAGGGCAGAGGCGTCGTCAAGGACAGAGACAAGGCGAGAATCCAGACACTTTGCTTTCCTGAGTGTTTCCTCATTCTGACACACATCATACTTACTTCCCTCCTATGTGAGAAGCCAGTCTTGAGAGGGTTTCCGGTGTGTTTTCTGTTCCAGGCTCTGTATCACTACTGGCAGGCAGCCGCTGGTGGTCACAGACAGGCTCAGTACCGCCACGCAAAGCTGCTGCTGACCAGCAGGGGGTGCCAGAGTGTCGAGCAGCTGAACACGGCCATCCACCTACTGGAGCAGGCTGCTGCAGCTGGACTGAGCAAGGTGTGAAATCATCACAGAACCTCATTAACTCCTCTTGATTATTTCAAACAATATCTTCATGTCTTCACAACTCTTGTACATTCAAATACTGTTTGACAATACTTAAATTATAATTTTCCATTGGTGCTTTTCTACATTGCTCTTATAATGTTATGAGATATCATACTGCACTTCAACTTTAAATAATTTAAGAATTTATTGAGACTTTTTTTTTTTTTTTTTTACATATAACAGTAGGAAAAGCACAGGTATAAATAATTAAGTAAATTATTGTACATGTTGTCTGAGTTCCATTTAGCTGCTTCAGATTCAGGGTCCTGCTGTTGTTGGTGTTGGCTCACTCTCACGCCTTACTGGGACATTTTAATAGAACACAGCCAACAATCATAGTATTAATAGTGTCTGTGTACTCACTCTGCGTTTACTTTAAATATTGAAGGAAACTTCAAGAATTAAAGTTAATGTATGCCTGCAAGGTGAAGGGAGAATCAAAAAACTGAGAACGTTTTGATGAATTGATGGAATGTGGGGGGCTGCGTTTAACAACAGCAAAACTGTATCAAAACATCTGTTTAATGATATAATAATATAGTATAATCCAAGTCTTGTCTATCTAGTCGTATGCGCAGTACTTCCAATGTGAGACGGTCTGATAGAGGGTGGCGGTTTTTAATCTCTGGTAATTGCATTTGAGAGCAGTTGGGTATCAGCCTCTGATTAGTTGAAAGACCCGAGGCATCAGGAAGTGCTTGTGGACGGCTAACAAAAATAATAACTGTTGTCTACAAGAAAGAATCGATAAATATTCATGAAAACATTCGGTGTTGCATTTATCGTTATGGAATTATTTAAACGAGTTCTCCAAAAACACACTGCAGCTCAATGCTGGAATACAAATCCTCTGGAAGAGATACGATCGGACCAGAGCCCTCATCACAACGTTAGTGAATCTCATGCAGGGTCTCAGCGATACTAAGTATGTCATGTATGTCTACTATATCGTAGAAGGTTATATATGTTGTATTTTAGCATTGTAAGCACATTGGTCCATTTGGACGGGAGACGTGCTGCAGCAGTAAATACATCAAGGGCCATTATAAAAAAACATAGACATGGTTAAGTGGCTGATCCTGCTTTATGATCTGGGATCAGTTCTATTTCTAGTAACTTCATCAAACGTGTGTGTGTGTCTGTGTGTCTGTGTGTATCCTCATCCTCACAGAAGAACTCTGTTTCTCCTCCTCTTCAGGCTCAGGTGTGCCTGGCCTCGGTCTACACTCGGGAGTCGGTGAGAGACGGCAGCAGGTCTGTCCACTACCTGAAGATGGCAGCAGAGAGCGGAGTGAGCGCCCTTCTAGATGCTTCTAGAGTTTGATCTATGGCTTTATATCACTGAGGTTTCCCCTCCCGCTGTACATTCATTCTGTATTTGTCAACAGGGTGTCCGCACCGTCTCCTGCTTTTCAGTATTCACCGCTTATTTTTAAAACATCCCTACTTACACGGGATGCTGCAGTTGTGTTGAAGCAAATAGTGTTCATTAATGTTACTTCAAATCACTTTAGAGCTACAGCTGATAGTCCCATTGTTGGTTTATAACGTGTAATATTAAGCACAAGTTCTACCACTTCGTCAAGTTCTTGAAGATTAAATCCCATGTTTATTTTTGATCATGTGCGCAGGACAACACCGCCCTGCTCTTTTTGGGTCAGTGTTTTGAGAGTGGCTTTGGCGTACAGCAGAACCTGAGGATGGCGGTTGAATACTACAAACGAGCCGCTCAAGCGGGCAACAAGCAGGCTCAGAGCTTACTGACGCCTCTGGAGGATGAACTCGGTAAGGGTAGGCACACATTTGTCTTAGTCATTGCATGTTGTGCATTTGTTAATGATGGCACTGCATGTGATAAGCTTTTAATGAGCCTGGACAGCAGTGATTTCTCTTATCTGTCTCCCGTTCCTCCTCAGCAGAAGATGCCGTGTTGCGCTGCATCCGTTCGGCTCCATGTTTCTCTGCAGCCGACCGGCGGCTCCAGCAGCCGCTCTCCCCTCCCTCCTCCGGTCGCCCCATCACCCTTCCACTACTGCCTCACTCCTGGAGCACCGGGAGCCTGTGTGTCCCCCCGGCTCTGTCCTCCACCCCGCTTCACCTCCATCCACAGAGCACTGAGGGAGGAGCCTGCCAGTGGACCGTAGGGGTCGGATAGTTATCCTGAGCCAGCACAGGTCCAACTGAGGAATGTGTTTCATAGCGGGAATGTATTTTAACCAAAGGAGAAAAAGGTCAAAGTGCGTTAGATGTGTACATCATGTGAAGTCTGGATTAGACTGAATCCATTTTATACTTGGTCAAATATGTGTGTATAGACATTTTGTTGAAGGTGTTTTCTAAGGAGAACGAGTTGTTGGATGTAGGTTTTTACAATATTATGTGGATGAAATATGGAAGCTTTTTTTTATTATTTGTTTCTATACATTATAGAGTTTTCTGTTATTTTAAATTCTCCTGTGAGTCAGAAATGTGATCTATGTGCCTTTGGGGAGGATGAGAATATTTGGTGGGTATTAATCACGTGCTTTAAATTAGTGTCATAACGTTCAGTAATACTGTTACTGTATCTTTGTAAAAGAACAAAAAGGTAAATGCTTTCTGGTAGTCCAAACTTTATATGAACTGATGCACTGTGAGGAGGATGATGTACTGATAAAGGCAGATCCTGAGTAAAACCATTAAAAATATAATCCCTAAAAGCTGCTTTGTTACTTTTTTACTTTGTAATTGCAATAACTACATAAAATCAGGACCACTTTGAGTCAAACTTCATATATTAATCCAACGAGAACTAAACTGTTTCAGGGTCAGATGTGATCATCGGTGTAGCACTATAAACCCGACCATTCATGTTTCTTCAGACCGCTGCATGACGTAAGACTCTGATGATGTGAGATTTCATTACCTGAGTTGCAAAATAACGCGGTAGATTTATTACGGTTGCGTCTCCCTCCGTCCTGCGTCCTGCGTCCGCGCCACTGATTGGCCGGTCTTCGCTCAGAGCGCCACAGCGCCGCTCCGCTCCGGGATCCTCTGGCGCAGAGAGAAAGCTCAGCTTGGCCGCCAGCGAACACCGAGCCGGGCTGGGAGGGCAGATGATGTGAACCGATACGGGTGTCCGTGCTGTAGCTACGGGCGGAGTGGCACTTTAAAAAGCGGCTGTCGACCTCGAAGCTGCTCACTACTGCGCGTGTGTGTGTGTGTGTGTGTGTGTGTGTGTGTGTGCGCGCGCGTGTGTGTCGTCGTGGGAGCGGAGGCGCAGAAGCCCGGAGGCTGACTGAAGCGGTGAGTGGATGTAAATAGATGCTCTCGATGGGATGCGCTCCCCCTCCCAGTGCTGTGGGGCTGGATGCTGAAGGTTTACTGCGTCTGTTCGCATATCGACAGCGTTGCTTCCGCAACGATGGCAACTCCACCTATATGCTTCCTCGGCGTTATGGTGGATTTAAAGATGATCTAACGCGAGTTTATTAAGACGGCAGCAAGAAAAGAGGGGCTAGAATACTCCACCCATGACATCATCGACTTTTCAAGTTGGATTTTGTCCCCAGCTTGTGCTTTCATCTGTTGCTCTTCATTTCTGAAGCGGTGGGTGCAGTTCAGAGTTGAGGAAAGAGGCCTCTCATTCCAGGGAGTAAGTTGAAAAAGGAGGATTTCCTCTGATCTCTGTCGGTATCTAGATATTACCTGATGATGAATATCCAAAGCATATTATTGATGAGACGTTGATATTTCTTTATAGGGTGACCTTCAGGTGTGAAAGCACTCTTGTCTGTAGATCTGTATACAGGCTGCATAGATGGTGAAAACAGCTTGAGTAGATGAGGATCATTTTTTGACACCTGGCTCCAAAAACCAAGAGACGACATTGTATTATGTCTGTCAAGAAGTTGCATTTTTATGCAAGACTTATGTGATATCTGCTTGTTTTCTGTCTTATATTACTGTACGTTTCTACTGCAATGTAAGCAGGGCACATCTCAAGGAAGAGCAGCAACAGAATGAAAAGATGAGTTTATTGTTGCATAATTGTTTTATTAGTAGACTATCCAGTTTGCTGCTGTTCCCGTGACCAGCTGCTAAAAAAAATCTTGTGCATCTCATGAATGAGCTCTGCTGTTGGAGAGCACAACAGATTTATTGAGAACAGTTTAACTACCTCTGTGTGTTGACTGCCCCACTGTCCTGCAAACTGCTGTGTCATTCTCCTCGCTTTCTCCCTCTCTAATAACCGTCCTCTCTCCTCCCCACTCCCCTCACATCCTCTCTTTGCTCCACTTTGTTTAACTAATGGAGATCTGGCTTCATTTCCGGGGGTAAATAAAGAAAAAGGATGGTCCAGTTTGCCTGCAACTCTTGTATAATAGTTTTAAAAAAATAGGAGAAAGGGACAATGAGGAGTTGAATTGCTGTTTGTTTATTTCTCCTTGTCTGTTTTGGGGATTGTGTCAGGATGTGTAATTTGTCCTCTGACTCATACAGCATATTTGCTGTGATTTTCAGCTTCAGTTGCTCAAGGCTCAATTTCTAGTGCACAGCTTTTGTGTCTTTTAGTTTGGTACGAATGTATTTTTTCCATCTTTTTTTGAAAGGTTCTTATAAGGCCAAACATCCAGGAAACTAATTTGAGCCTGGAAACAATGTTGTCCATTAGTTAGGGTGGTAACATAAGCTCCAACATCTTTTACAAAAGCATTGCTGAATGAGAAAAGCTGGTATCGTGATGAGACTGCACGGCTCAGTGCAGGTAGTCTGTACCTGTTGACGCTGTGTTTGTGTCTGATCACAGGCCTGGAGTGTGAGCGCAGATTCAGCACAAACAGTTTGTTTTGGTTGTCTTGCTCAGTGACACAGGGCCAACACGACAACCACCCGGGGAGAGGGGAGCGGATAGGGGCCCCGCATGAACAAAGTGCACTGTCCAGGGATTCTGCTCTCTCCAAAAATCCTGCCTCTGTCTTTTCCCAAGATTTTGTCGTGCTTTAAAATCTGCTGTGTTTGTATTTTCCATGTTTCTGAGTAAAGGCGCTGGTGATGACTGCAGCATTGTTTTAGGTGTGTGTGTGAGTGTGTGTGTACACGATGGGGCAACAGGATGTTTATGCATTATGCTTGCGTGCCTGGACATGTTTTTCTACCCGTGTCCGTGTTCAGTTGCTTCCCAGCTTCCCACAGAGTTGCAATCAAATGAGATCATTCAAAGACGGAAGTGACAGTGAAGCTACCCATACATGTGCTGTGTCTTAAAATCACAATGACTCTCTGCCACTGTCTTTGTTGCTATCCATCTGTCTCTGTGTTCAGCATCACAGGGCTGAGGGCTGATCCACCCAGAGATAAAAGAGACACGGTTAGCTAGCTAGCAGGAGCCGCCACTTCTCCTCCCCACAGATTGGCTGACTGCTCAGCTCCGCCTTTCAATGTCAGTCCTGGACGAATACATCGAGGGTCTGACTCACTCCCAATACCATGCAAATGCAATCCAGCTTCATGTCTTTGATGCAGTGTTTTTATAGCATTTCAACAGTGACATCTTATGTGTAAAGGGGCGTAAGGCTGGAGAATAATCAGCACCATAGTGTATCAATATAAGCCTGGCTGAGCTGCAGCTGGAGAGCAAAGAGCAAGATGTTTTTATCTGCTTTGTGTTCCGTCGTAACATCAGAGAAATGCAAATGAGTGACACAGCACTGAGCGTCTCAACCTGATGATGTCACCCTCATGTGATGATGTGAAGAAAACACCCAGAGAGTACTTGGGCCAGAAATGATTTTTAAACAAATATTGTATTAAATTATTTGTAGCATAGTATTTTAGTACAAGATATAAGCCGAGAAGCCAGAGAAACAAATCTTTTAAAAACATACTAACCCAGTGACCAACCATCGTCCAGCCATAGAGGTGAGAAGGCATAAAAGCAGCTTGCAACCACAGGAAGGAGTGTTATTGTACTCTGCCTGACTAAGGGAAAATGGAAAATGAGGAACACTTCCTTCTCTATCTTTCTATCTTCAACATCTAATGAAAAAAATAAGGTTGAATCCAGGTTAAAGGACTGTTATCAAAAATGTTATGTATAATGTTATATGTTTGTGTAAAAAAACCACCTATATATTTACATGATTTTTTTTACAATCTCTAGTATCAACATTGGCATCGACCTCAAAAACCCAGTATCAGTTGTGTTATATTGTTTGGCACATGCAGGGTATACACTGTTTACATGACTTCTGACAGTGTGTCTCTTCTCTCATCAGCTCTATCACGGCAGTGTATTTCCTGTCAGCCATGACGTCAGTACAAACTCCTCCTCTCTCCCGCTCTGGCTCCTCCCCCTCTAATGTGGGTCTGGCCAATCGCAGCGGCGCCTCGGCCACCCCTCCCACCTCCCTCAGCCTTCGCTCGTCATACAACCAGTTGCTTGGGCGAGATGTCATCAAGGAGTCCATGGAAACCGGAAGTTCGGCCACCTTGCCAAAGAGCCGTCAGAGGTATGCAATGACCAGTGTGCGGAGCGCCATTGGGATCAGTGACAACTTGGCTTTGCCCTCTAAAAACCAACCTGGAACCAGAGGGAGGGGTCTCCCCACCAAGTCCTCCTCCAGCTCTGCCCTCTACTCCTCCTCGTCGTCCTCCTCGCTGTTTAACACAACCAACCCCAAACTGGCCAAGAATGGGGCTAACATGCAGAGACGAGCCGAGAGTCAGCAGTTGGAGCTGAGCCGTGCCAATACAGAGGGCAAAATTCATAATGATCTCATCAATAACCCCAGTTCTGACTGGCTAGAAGTTGGAAAAGACAACTCGCAGCTGCCCCCGTTCCGTAGAAGGACCAAGAGCTTCTTGGAGTATCATGGGAAGGGCTGGGATTTGGACCTCAGTTGGGGAAACAAAGAGGACAAGGAGGAGAAGAAGAAGCAGCCTTCTCCAGAGAAAGAGGAGGCCAGCCCTTCCAAGGAGAGGGAGAGCCATAAGGAGGAGAAGCCCATCAGCAAGCAGACCTGCCAGGAAGAGGTGGAGCCAGTGGTGGAGGAGGAGGAGGAGGAGGAGGAGGAGGAGGAGGAGGAGGAGGAGG